GTTGACTAACTAACCAAAATGTATTTTAATACGTAAACTTTAGTTCATAAATATGCTAAAAAATATCAAAAGACAAAATTCGAACAATATATACACGATCAAAAGAAAAAACACAGAGTAAACATTAATACATTGAAAAATTATGACATTATTCTATTCATCATATGACTTCTAACATCAAAAATATCTTGATCAAAATAAACTTCAATATTATCGTTTGGTACTGATTGCGTTTGCCCATTTCGGTACGATTAGCGATAAGTTTCGATAATATTCCAGACTGGACGACCCTCCAACACTCACTTCGACAACGGACTCGATCAAGCCGTCCGTCGCGTTTACAGGCGTATCATAAAAGACAAGTCGTCTTCGAGTCGCCGTTTTGTGCTCGTAAGCACAATCTGTCGTTGGTTTTTTTAATTTATCGGAGCGGACATCTCGATATTTTTCATTGACGTACATGTTAAAACACAAGCCACCGATTCTGGAGTGCATCGGGCGACTCGTATAGTTGTGTCGCGGCAAGTTATACTACATGCATGCGGGTGTAGTGGTTACCGTATTATACGCACGTGTAAGCGTGCTGTAAGGACATTTTCGTTGTATTTTCTTTTGATGTTAACAAAAGAACATTAGCATTAGTAGAAATAGCGTGTGATGACGGTACGTCTCGCAACTGCAAACGGTCGTAGTCATTAAAATCGACAAGCGTCGATGGGCAAGTGGTGAGTGCGTCGCCAATCGTCGTTTTAGTATTCTTTATTAATTTGTAGCACATGGGTGGCGAACTGTTGTATCATTATAATAATCGAGTTATTCATCAATTGTCAATGGTCATTGTCAGATACATATTGAGGGTCAAATCAAACCACGAGCGATGAGCTGTCGTATTGTATTACTCTTCTGTTATCGTTTTTTGCCACTGTGATTGATAATATTATTATTTGTATTATTTGTATAATTTCCTATGCGGCATGAATTATCACGTTACACAGTAGTTTTATTTTATAAAGGAAATAGACACCAAGATTATTCCTCTAAATTTCAGGAATTAAAATATATACAATTACAATAATCAAATTTCTGTATACCATGTAATATAATATAAAATTAATAATAAACAGTCCACTAATTCAATTATATTTTTTGTAATTGTTATTTATTGATGTCTATTTTTTAAATTTTTTTTAATATTTATTAATTTTGGTTTCTCTGGTTTGTTATTTCACAACAAAACAACAATATTATGTATTTTATAACTATGATTTGCATAAACGTGTCGTGTTTACACAATTAGGAACAAACGTTTAGCATATAGTTATATTAATATTATGTGTGTAAATAATTTGTCTTTAAAATTTTAAAATAACATTTATTGGTATATGATGTAAAATATCAACTTTTACGTTTATTAATATAAAAACTTTCAATCAAATTATAAATTCTCTTTAAATCTAACCCGTTAAATGAAGCTAAACAATTGTAACATGTGGTTTTATTTTTACTGTACCTAAATATTATAATAAATCTTGGTGAGATAAAAAAAAATACTAAACAAAACGGACTTGGTTAATCCTTGTTTTTAGTTTATAAAAGCCTCTTTACAGGCCAAAATTATTTAAGTGAAGAAAAATGAGAATTTAATCCCATTGATGTCCAGCTTAGTAAGCCAATGCAATTAAAAAAAAAAGATTTGCATAAAAACTGCAGTAGTGCATTATAACAAAAAAAAAATAATAATAATAACATAGTGTGTATACGTATGGTTCAACAATGCTAACGTTTAATGGATCAATTTAATATATAATTATTTTTCATTAATTTAAGTTTAGGAAAACGAAAATAGTAAAATAAAAATTTTAAATATGATATTCATACAAAATATAACTAAGGGTATCAAGAATATTTATTTTATTAACCGTAATAAAAATGAAAATCTTAACAATATATAGTAGAATATTATATTATTATACACTATGATATTTTACTTTGTATTTTCTTATTTAACATAACTAACGTCTTCAATCATTTAGGACTGAACTCCGTTAAAATCAATTTTATTGAATAAACACCATAATAAATACATCAAATATACAATTTAACATTTGGGTGACACTTAGTAGTATCATTCACACGGGTAAATATGCGTGAACACTTGAAACGTCTTACCCTCGTACACTTTAAGGCTATGGCCATATCGGAAAACAATTCAACCAGTATTGTCACATTATAATGAGGCACAGCGATATACTTTTATAATTTACAAAGGTTCCTCTAGAACTTAAGATTATATGATGTATTCATCCCGGTGTAGTAAGAACTTTTAAAGGTAAGGACGTCGAACAATTAATAACAGTATAACATAAAATATGCTTGTCGAAAACACTTTTACTGTGAAACAAACAAGCACAAAAATGATATATAAGTTAGTATTTTAACCACAAAAAATGACACACATGCGTACTATCAAGACCTCCGAGTCTGTTACAACCAAGTGTGATCAACCGTTTGACCTACCTACTTTAATTACATACTAATCTAAAATATATTTTTCTATACATTTTATTAAATAATATTAATGATTTTCTATATAATATATAAACGACAAAGTACTATTACTTACAAAAGCTTTAATTATATCTTGAACAGCTTTAAAGTATCATTTACTAATTTGCATTTCACAGCTATAATAGAAAATTATATAAATAATCTCACTATTTAAGTAGTCAGCTTTTATTTGCAAAATTATTAAAATTGATAGAATATAACAAAGACGTGATACAAGAAGCTTGTAGGTGTGTGTAATTTTTATAATAATGTGATATATAGGTATCATAAGAACAACGGATTGTATTATACGCTAAATATAATATTATACTCATAACCTTGTAGTATTGTGTATTCTATCATAAACATTGTTCTAACTACGTAATAAAAATCTCAAGATTGTGCATAGATTTATAAAAACTGCGCTTGGTGATTTATACTGTATTATATATAGAGCTCTCTTGATATACATAGTTTAACGAAAGTGATAGAGATAATTATAAATTATATTTAAAAAAAAAGAAAAAAGAATTTTAATAGCTGATCAGAAAAAAATAAATATTATATATATTATATGTATACATATATACACTTTTAATAGCATTTTTATGTCAATCATATTTTTAGTTTATTTTTAAATAGTTTATACCTTGTAAACTTGTAACTCTAAATATTTTTTTACCGTCACTATACTTTTTTATACTGTTTATTTTGTTTACACGAAATAATACACACGTATATACTCAAAGATACTGTTTCTATGCTTTAAAATTATTTGCATTTAGAAATGTACATTATAAATCATCAATAACTGACCACATAAACAATCTTACGTAAGATAGTAAGTGCGTATGCGGTATACGTATAATAAAATATAAAATACATATAATATATATATTTCTGTTTCATCCATTCCGTTGGGGGTGTGCACTGTATGCTAATAAAAACTGTAGGTAAATTTTTGGATGCGTGTCAAATATATTTTTGGCTTGCTCGGGGTTCGCGTGACTATCTTACTGGATTGTTGCGTGACCGCGCCCAATAATTCGCCCCGGATGTTTGTGTCGACCGCACCGGTGACCGGACAAAGGCGCTTTGCAAAAATAAACCCATTAGAGTTTACTGATATTTTATATGTTTACTACCCGTACTACACACGTAGGTATAGGTAGATAGACAATACATGGTTATTCATGAGTCGATAATAACAGTGCAGCTTTTTACGTGTAAAGAAAAAAAGAAAAATCGAAGATAATTCATTAAGATTTCAGTATTGATAATAACTATTTTGGAGAAAAAATCATTAATTATAACTTAAAATATATAAATTTAAATTATACTAAAACTAATATTAGAAAAAATACCTATTATGAGTTACAGTTTACAACATCGATAATATGTATACATATCATTAACGTAATATTATTCTATTTAACCCTCAACAACAGTTACTTGCTAAGACAGATTAAAACCCAAATAATCACTGTTTAACTACTATATTTAGTTTTATACCAATTAAAAGAGTCTATCTCAGTATCTTGCAAGGTATGCTAATTAATCGTAACTAACTAATAAAACTGGTGAAATGCATTAATTAAAGAAAAAATTTTTGAATACAGTCAAAAGTTTTAAATAACACTTCTATATAGTCGTTTAACTTAATTTTGAATAAAAAACTTTTTTAGTAATTTTCTAATCATTTAATTTAAAATATCCTACTAGAGTAACCAGTTATAATCGATTCAAAGAAATATATCTACTATATAGTCTATATTTAATCATTTATAATGACAATTTTTTTTTTTTTTTTTTTAATCGTTTCTTTAAGGTTATTTTCAATATAAACTAAAATGCACAATATGTAAATTTTATACTAGATAATGATGCAAAAAACTTAATGAGCGTAAATAGAGAAAGTGTTCATTAACAGTACTTCCTATTTTAAACAAATGTTATGTTTTTTCTATTTTTATTAATGAGCAGATAATTCGGATAATCTATTCAGCGTGTTAATATAATTTAATTTAGTTTGTTATTTTATAAGGGAAAGTGTGGATGATCAATATTAGTTAATATTTTTAGTAGTATTTTGTTGATAATTGCGGTAAAAGTAAGATTGGTGGATTTATAAGAGTTTTAAAATCGTTTAGGAAAAAGTTCGTTCGGTATAATACAATATTTTAATTTTTTTCATTAATAATATGAAACACAAATAAACATAAATTATTTATATTTTATTCCTAATTCAAAAATTAAATAATGTGATTTTATAATTGAACGAGTATTAATTATTTAATGTGTAAAATATTATTATAATTATGCAATAATTATAAAAATACTTATTTGTATCATACTCAGTTAAATATAATATTTGTATAAAAAATAAAATTAATTATTTTATATGATTATTTTTTTCAACTCCACAATAATATTTATTTTTAATTTTCTTAAAGCAAATCCAATTAGATACCCAAGATTCAATGGACGTAGTTGGTTAGCATTTCCACCACTACGAGGAGCTTACAAACACGTTCAAATAAGTTTAGAATTCAGACCAGAAAGCTGGGATGGTATATTGTTTTTAGCTGCTGAAAGAGATGATTTAGTTGGAGATTTCATGGCTATACTGCTTCACAATGGCTTTTTGGAATTTAGGTAATTCAAAATTGAGCCAATAAAAATGTGTTTATTTGTAACATTATAAATATAACCGAAATACTTCTTTATAGGTTTGATTGTGGATCTGGTTTGGGAGTAGTTAAATCTGAAGAAACAGTGATTTTAAATCAATGGAATACTCTGTCTGTGTATAGACACAGATGGGATGCGTGGATCCAATTAAATCGTGGAAAACGCATTGCTGGGAGATCAAAAGTAAGTACATTTATACATTTTAATTAAAGTAAAATCAAAAATGTAATGATAATTATTTATATTCGCATTTAACCTTTTCCTGAACAAATAAATTGAGGAAAATAGTTTTAAAAAACATTTTTTTAAATTGGTCATTTCAAAAAGGTTATAATATACTTTTTATTTTTTTAAACATAATAAAATGTACTAACTATAAATATATCAATGATTTTGTACCTAGTCAACAAGTTACTGCTGTACTATATTCAATAACATTTTCTATTAATTTAACATTTAAAACGTTTAAGTAAAATTTGTTTTTTCAATTTAATATTAGAGTATTAGCTTATAATGCCTTACATATTTTGAATATATGCAATAAACATGCATATTTTATTATATCTATACAACGCCGTATTTTAAATTTGTGGGTCCCCAGGCAGTTAAAGCCCTTAAGAAAATTATTACTTACATACGTCTTTAATTTTACAGCTTAATAATTAAATAGGCAGTTTGGGTTATATGTATTTACATATTTTAATTAACAAAAGTTAATACATTTTTAAAAATAAAAGCCATTATACTAATTTACATGAAACATTCATAGAATTGTGAATTTCAAAATGTTAAATTTATATAAATTTAATATATTTTTTAGGAATTTTCTTCGAAAATAAAATAAAGTTAAACTGATTAGTTAAAACTTTAAAGTGTTAATTAATGTATAAACGTCGTCAAAAAATAAAAATCGTATTTACCTTAATTAGGCAGTACATTTAATGTACAAATTACTTTTTAATAAGCTAATAATTATCTGAAATAAAGATACTAGTATTATAAAGTAGAATAATTTATCAACTACTCATTAATGTAGAAATTCACATTTTATTTAGTTTAAATATGCAAAACCTAATTGAAATCAATCGAGATTTAATCAATTTTGATACTTGTGTGTCATAACTACCCAAAAAAGAAAATTAAACATAATATTATGTAATGAATTATAATTTTAATAATAATCACATATCAAAAATCTAATTAATACTTAAGAAAATAAACAAATATACATAATATTTAAAAGTTAGATTACTCCATTATCATCTAATTGGTAGCTTTTTTGTAAGTCTCAATAATCCAGTAATATATTTATTTTATAATGTAAATCAATAAACTTAAAATTAAAGTTAAAATATAAACTATAACTCAACTGTTAAAACATGCAATTTTTAACAATATTTTAGATTTTGAACATAGCAATGAATAATGTGTTAATTTTACAATGATGTGTACCTATTTATACTATTTTGATTTTAATTTTTGTCTACACAAACTTTTTCTATGAGAAAAATTGTTTTTATCATCAAATTGATGGAGGTTTCTTATAACAAAGTGAATCTAGTTGGTACTTAAAAGAGATCAAATTTAAAAATTCTTAGTACTTTTTAAAACAATTGGGAAAAACTAAAACAAAAACGATCATTCGTGAAAATTATAATATTATTATTAAAATAATTGTTTGATAACTTTGTTTATCGAAAAATTAGACAATTTTCAGAATTTTTTTTCAATTATTTAACATTTAATTCTAATTGAACATGTTATACATTATAGTGCCTACTCAATGAAGAGATACACTCAACTTTTTCTGTATAACAGAGTAGTTATCTATTTTCCACCATTTCTTCTAAAATCACAAAAAAAATGTTTATAATTATAATTATTTATTTAAACAGTATATAAAAAAAATGAAAATAACTAAAATTAATTTAAAAAATAATATTTTATAAAACATACTATTGAGATTGTTAATTTCATAACAATGAAACACAATTTAAACAAAACACAAATAATTTCCTTCTTTATTCACTTACTTTAACTTGGTTATTAGCCAAAAGATAATAGTTATCTACATCAAAAATATTTGTAAAATACCGAATACAAGAATTCCTTATTTAAAACTATAAATTAAGAGTTGAATACTTAAGCGTTATAAATTTATAAGTTAGAACGATGCACATATCATTATATTTTATTTATCGTGTTGTGGTATTCAAATTATTTTAAGTCATAACGTCCTACTATGGAATCTGTACTACCATAAATTATAGAGAATAAAATAATGTAAAGTTTAGTTTGACTGACAGTAAATATCAAGTCTTTGTCAATAAATAAAATAATGTGTTTTTTATCTCATATATTTATTTTATTAATATTTTATTGTTCACTTAATCTTATAGATATAGATTTCACACAATACTACAAAAGTATATGTTTTTATTTAGTGACTCTATTAATAGTTGATCGACATGGATAGATATTAATGTAAACTAAAAATTAAATTAAAATATTGTTAATAATATATTTATTAGTAGTTGTATTACTTGTTAACTAGTAATTTATAACTACAGACCATAGTCCAATACAAGAAATATAAATACTTTACCTGTGCATAATAGATATTGGCTGAGCCGAATTAACCATTAGGCGCTATAGGTATCAAACTACCAAGTAAATTATTACTTAATCAAAGCATCATACTTTCTACTTCTTTTTTTTTGTTATCTATAATAATAAGGGAATTACATATACAGTAAGTGTTATCAAATAGTTTATAGCATCTTATATATATGTATATATGTTATGTACCTACACATAATAAATTATTATAATAATTATTGTATACAGATAATAGACACATTATTATGGTGACAATGTATATACATTAACAGAAATTCTATTTTTTTCTTTGATTCCATGAAAAAAAATGGGTACTGTAACGCAGATATAATTATTGTCTTAAGACAACTTTTCCTTATTCTGGCATTGAACAAAAATTTAATAATCAAATAACATAAAATATTATATGTGAATTGGTTTTTCAAATAACATTTTTTATTTTAAAATATACTTTTACCGAGATAATGTTATGACCTAATAATGATCTTTTAGTTCGTGTAATTTAGCCGTATTAACAAGTGTTTATTGATAACCTATTATTATTACACTTATTTTATTACTTACAATTATTTATAACCATGTTGTCGGTTTCTTTTATCATTTACGCAAACACCAAATACTAATTTTTTTTTTTTTTTTTGGAAAATTTGATTCAAATACACTCTCCTCAACCTTTGATAAATTCTTAAAAAAACACAATCTTTTCCCAAATTTAAGATATTTCAATAATATATTATTTACATTTATATTTATGAGATGAATCTATCTCAAGATATATTTACAATTTTCAAAAACATTACATTCGTTTTACTTACCTTTTACAAATATTAAAAGTTAATAAAAATTAATTTGGACATAGTTACAAATGATAAGTCTAATTTCGTCATTTTAACGGTAATTTTTGTTTTTAAACTTAGGGCTTATTCTCAAGAATAACATTTCGAGAACCTGTCTTTATCGGCGGTAGAGGTAATACATCTGGATTGGCTGAACGATTCCCAACAGACCGTGGATTTGTTGGTTGTGTTCGGCTGTTACAAGCCAATGATCACAGATACGATTTTGGTGAAACACCTGCTGGCGATACAGTCAAATCCCAAGAAGTTGGTAAGTGTTAACTACACATTTAGTTTTCTTAAACTACCTTCAAAAAACATAATATGAGAAATATCGATTTGTTCAAATCCGTCGACAAAATATTTATTTTTATTATATTTATTGGTATTAAAAATGCAATTTTATATATTCAAAACAATGCTGGAAGACGTGACTGAACTTTAAAAATCCCACGATGATAAAAAATTAGATATTCTATTTTTATAGCAGTTCTAAATATAAATAAAGGAAATAATATAATGGGAAAGGTCCTTTAAGAAAACTTTAAGCAAACTGCCAAAACTGTTTAATTTGTAGACAGTGAAAACTTTTCATTCTCCTTAATCTACGTCTTCTTGTTCGCTAACTTCGCAAATTATACCGGATAAAACATATGGGTTACTTGGTGATGCCATTAATTATTCTTGTTCATATAAAATAACAGCTTATAATTTTTTTTAATATAAAGCAATATAATAAAATTATTTTTGAGAAAACCAGTTGAAAGTTAAAATTGAAAAATGCTTAGCTACTATTGAAAATTATAATTATATTATTTAAGATCTAAATAGTATATTATACAAATATCTTTGTAAATTTATTGCTGATTTGAACGACGCGATTCTATTTAAATTTTGATCGTGTATATATTTTATTTTATTTATTTATTTTTTTTTTTATTGTATAATATACATATATTATATTATTATATTATAATATATAATGGATATGTTAAATTTCTATAATTTCTTTGGGATTTATATGATACATTCATATACATTGTGTATTGTTCTAAACATTATAAAAGTCATATTATTATATTCATATTATTAAAAAATGTATAATGAAAACAAAAGGATTAATATTAATTTTAATACTCATTATATCTATAATATGAATAATAAAAAAAATTACACTTTATTTATCCTAGTAGAATCACGCGAGTTTATGACTCATTTATATAACCAGTTAATTTTAAAGTAAAATTTAATTATATACAACTTTTAAAATAATATATACAAAATAACCATCAAACATCATTACAATTTATTGGTCGTGGCTTGTGAGACATGAGTATATTATAGTTAAGAGTTTTACTCTTAAATCTATCATTCTGGTTTCTTAAAAAAATACTTTTATTTAATGGTCTTTTAATAAAATATTAAAGTTTTAAAATAAAGACACTATAGAAGACGAGATTAAACGAGAAAGAAATGTATTTGAAATATAGACGGTTGATGAAAAACGAAACATGATTAGATTAGATGTCGTGTAGTACATGTTTATTAATGTATATAATTAATATTAAACTAAAAACTACAACAATGAGAGAAAAAAAAGCTGCTAAGACTCTTTGAGTAAACATTAGATAGAAGCTTTTGAGGTGAAAGTCGAGGACATCAGTGTACTCCCACCCTCTTTATAGTGCGACAGTGTTAATTAATTTTCTAGTCAACCGCTCTACCGTCGACGTTGTTCGATAATGGTTCATGTTTTATTATGAATTTAATCAGCTGGGAGACATGGAAAATAACAAAAAAAAACACAATTTGCTTCTTTCTTTTTAATCTTTTTAAAAATTCTTAGAGCAAATGCTTGATTTTATTAATTACTTAACGTGAATAAATACAATATCAAACTTTGATTTTTGTTTTGACTTTTTTTGAATTGCTATATTGAGTTAACTTTTTTATGGCACTAAAAAAAATTTATGATATATTTTAATACCTAATACTATAAATCGCCCAATCAATATATTTATAGGTCAGCAAACATTATCTATGAGTTTTTTGTATAGATTATATGATAATAAATTATATGCGATCTATTGGATATTGGGTAAAGATGCTTGTCAAAGTTTCAAATTCCCATTAATTTGTGATAAGGGAGAAAAATGGCTATATTTATAAACATAACACGCCAAACTCTGCTTTCCATGAATTGTATTATTCAATGGTTCATAGTTAATATACAACTTTCGGTATTGTAATGGCGTTTCCATAAATTTAAATCCTAGTAAGTGTCAAACGAAACGATAAGCGCCTTTAACACTTAAATTATACCTAAACAATTTAAATAAATAATTTAATGTTTAAAAATTAAGAGTAATAGTTTTATTTAAAAATTATTATATATTTAAAGTTTGATTATAATATTCATACAATTTAATCATCATTATTAAAATTAAAAATTATTTTATGGTCGTTTAGCATGCCATACTATTACCATAATATTTTATCTCACAGTTAGTATATTCATGTAATTTAAAAATATCATCAGCATTTTATTTAAATTTTTATGGACTTTAATTTATATGAAACATAATTATATCAATGTTTAAATGAAAATTATTATTGTTAATAATACAATAATTTAACACACTATGTTAAATTTATTAGCAATTATGTAAAAATTTTAATACTTTTCATCTAAACAAAATGTACAACTTTTAAGTCTAACACTGCTATTTATTTTTTATAAATCAAATCGATTAACCTCGGGCAAAGCATTGTTCTTACAATAGCTACATATATCTTGAACAACGACATTGAAGTATTGGTTTCTGATCGAAAACCCTCGCCTTGTAATTTGTCTTTGATAAATGGCACCGTAATTTAGTACACATGGAACTGGCCAAGACGCAGTAGAGTTGCTTGCTTTTTCTTGAATAGAATAAAACCAAATAAAAAAAAATAAAGATTTTCTGATCTTGTTTTATTTAAACTTTATTACTCGTATTAATTATACAATAATATATATATATATATGAGTATGACAAATGATTTCAATAATAATTTGATTTTACAGAGGAATGCTCTACGGACAAGTGTACAAGATCGCCTTGTCAACATGGTGGCAAGTGTGTAACAACTACCAATTCATCACTTTGTCTATGCCCTCTTGGTTACACTGGAGATTTATGTGAAACAATATTAGACTTACAGGTAAATATCACAAGAATAATACCATAATACTTCGTGTGTGTTTATTATTAAATATATATTATATAATATTTAACTATACCCGACTGACAATATGTATGTAATTTTATTTATAATGTTAAGCCTTTTCTTTTACTTTTATTTTCTTTCATTTTTACAATATTTAAAAAATATAAATATTGTTAAATTAAAATAATATAAACTAATGTAGAGCTTATGAATTATAACTAAATCTTCAATGTAAAATTAAGATCAATACAATTTTTAAGTTCAACCACTATTTTTTCAAAAATAAAATTATAGCAAAAATTGAATTATAAACAGAATTTTTTAACAATAAATAGATATTCAATATTTAAACGATTAGTTGGATAAATAAATTGTCACAAAAAAGCGACAAAAATATATTATAATGAGATTCTGAATTTTTTCTAAGAACAATAAAAATGCTCAACTTATAATTACATGTTATTACCACATATTTTTATTGAACCATGCCACAAAAAAAATTCCTTACTATTATAATAATATATAATACTATTTATTTATTTAAAAAATAACTTTAAACACAGAAATTAAATAGGAATACACAATTAATAAATATATTTAGTTGCATATTTAATCTTAATGACAAGTTTTTCTATACCTAAAGTATACCTTTTATAAATCAACGAGATATACAAGTTTTTGTATTTATTTTTAAAAGCCAAAAAATGCTTCAAAACCTGATTAAATTAGTAATAAAAATAACTAACATGCATTCATATAATCCAATCAAATACTTTGGAAAAAACCAATAAGTCAATATAAAGTAAAATCTGAATATATTAAAATATTTTGATAAACTATACATTACAACTTAAAATATTTCTAACTTACATCATAATTTCAACATACCAACAATATTCATACTTATTTCCTATCACTATAATAAATTTCATAAAATCTTTAACCACGCGAATCTTTTCATATCCAAACCTCTTCTCGCCTATTACCTAAAAACACTTCCTATCGTCTCAAACGTAAATGGCCACGTGGCCTATTAAAAATTCTATATTAACTTATATCCTCTAAGTTCATAAATTGGAAGTAGTGTCGATGGATGTTCCTTTATTATGTTATTATTTTGTAAATAAAAATTATGAATATTTTTTATAAATTAAAAAAAAATATTTTTAACAAAAAGGTAAATAAAATATTATAATATTGAATTCTATATTATGAAAATTTTGAAATTATATGACATTACAATTTAATATTATCATCAGATTTATACATCAATAATGATAGGCAAGTATAATTGAAACTGTAGTGCTCTTGTTATCGGTTTAGAAAGAGAAAATGAAGGTATATATAAATTAAGCATTTGAATTGTATAGATTTAAAGATTGAACAATTGAATTGTAACCCAGTTTTAATCCTTCTCAATAATTTTATGTGGGATAATATGGAAATCAAAAGCTTACTAACCTGAAAAAGTGAAAAGGGTTAACAAATAAATTGAAAGAACATAAGAAGCTTACAAAATTGCCTATGCAATGTCATATGCCATATTGTATTTTGGTATTATCATGGCATTCGTAGTGAATTTTATGCAATTCAACACATCTTTTTTCAATAGACTTCAACATGTATAATACGTATGTTATATACCTAGTACCTACTCGTACTAAAATTAATTTTCATTTATTGTTTTATGTAAGTTATATCATAGTTGATATTTAGTTATATATAACAATATAGGTAAATAATTATATAACTATGAAACTATCTAGTCGACAATATCCTAACAGCCTACCAATAAATTTTATTTATTTAAACTAAAATTTATATATTTAATTTATAATACAAAAAATAGTAAGGTAAATACATTATTTTACAAAATCCTTGATGGGGTATTTATTTTTAAAAGATGCATGAGCTGCAATATATCTAACCAACTTAAAGAGGAAAAAAATCTCTATTGAACATAAATCACAAAAAAACATTTCTAAGATTTTTTTCTACAAGAGATAAAGTCTAACAAGAAATCTTTTGTGGACACAGGACTTTCATGAGTTTCTACATTTCGTAGTTTCCGGTTTCAAATGAATGCGAGTATTTTTTACGCATCATGGTTATAGTGAGGACCGTATATCAAAATGTCATCCTAATTTTTAATGCTTATGATTTACAAATTGTAAGGATTATTTCATTTTTATTTTTTGCATTTTTAGTTTATTAAAGTATTTAATAACTATATTTATTCCTCAATATTATTATTTTAAAACTACAAAATTATATTATAGTAAAAACACGCATAGTTTTTAACTGTTTGAGGTTAAATATTATACACATGGAATGTATGAGCTTTTTAGTTAGGTATTACCCGTATAACTTTCATAAAGTGCACTTCATAAATATTCAACTTTCATTAATATAAGTACCAGAAGGAAATATATTATTTTAAACTAGAGCATAAAATATTTAAAAATGCATTTTTAATGAAAATTATTTAATAACCTCTTACTCGTAAAAATACCTTATAAAAATACCTACTTATTAATGAATATAAAATATACTTAATTTTAAATTTTGCTTTAAGTTTTATATAAAGATATTATTGATCTAAAATAATAAAAATATATTTACAAAATGTTGTTCACTAACATATTTTAACAATTTATTTGTAATAAAAGCTTTTTAACATGATCTAAATAACCTTAAACACATATATACATCTGTTTAAATATCAAAAATTTTAATTGGAGAATATACTATAAAGGTACCTCATATGTTTTCTTCCTATGTATATACTACCTTCGATAATGTAATATTTAAAATAAATATACTTTTTTTATCAATTGTAAATTTAAACATTATATAGTATATGTATAAGTTTATAGTACATTATAGGTATCATCGTATAATATACCATCTATATTTACTGCACTGCCACTATTATGTTTAAATTGAAATTGATTTTAAAATATGGTTTTTAATTTATATAATGGCGACTGAAACAGCAAAAACGCTATTTAGACACTATGGCATAATTAATATCAAATGACTATTAAATTACATTATTGTCATTTAACGACCGGTGGAGCATGAAATGGCAGCGTATAACATTAGGATATTCTAACGAGTGAAAAGGGGCTGGTTTACAACGCACGCACGTATAGTCCTCGTATGCTATTACATAACCAAATTGCCTATCAAAGACGCCGTTGCACGTAAATCTGCATTGGACATAATATTATATAACCATATAAATGCAATCCTGAAACCGCATTTACCCCACACGTAACTCCTATATTGTCATTAACCCTTATATTCTATGCTAAAGAGTACAATAAAAAATACTTGTAAAAATTTATTTTTAACGAATTTCCCAATCTAGAAAAAATATTGAATATAAACTAATATTACAAAATCAGTTTTTACACTTCAATAAATAATAAACCATGATATGGTGTAAATAAAGAAATATTATTATTTGTTTATGCTATGTACAAAATATATTTGTTAGTAATATTTCATTATCTCATAATAAATAATAAACTTTAAAACAACAAAACTTCTTATTTCCGATTTTTCAAAATATTATAATATCACGAATTTCACGTTTTTAATACATTAAAAAGTATGATGATATTTATAAGTATTTTGATTAAGAACTTATTCTAGCTATACTCTAATATTTCTATATATATTAGTTTTTATTCATAAAATGTTTTATATATCAAAAATTGGTTAAAAAATAAAATAGTATTATAACCACTTTCAATACATATTCTAGTAAATTATTAAACCAAGCATAAAATAAATATTCAATAGATCAGTGAGTTACACCAAAGTTCAGATTTTATAGATATAAGTTAAATATTTTGATTTTCAATGAAAACGTTTACTTAAAGTTTGATTTATACAAACACAAAAGATTAACCCATCTCGTATAAATAGGTCTCCATGGGAACACGTAATGTATATAATTTATTGTGTAAAGGATTTACACGAACTTTACCCTCATCCGCCACCAACAACCACCATACATTTTATATTACCATGGAAACACTTTAAATTGTGTCAAAATCTCATCATATAAAATTCAATTTTTGTTGAGAGTAAAAAAATTTAGTTAGACCCACCACGCTAATGACACATCAAATCAGTTATGTTTTTAATGAATTTATATCTTGCACTTCCTCGCAATAAAATATTAAAAGGCGTCAAAAGAAAATAATACCACCTAGCTAAAGCGTACTGATACATTATCACATACAATGACTACTTGAACAATGTAAAACGTATATAGCATGGTAAAATATGAAATAAATATATCCATGTTATAATATAATAATAACATCTTTTAAATTTAAAAAATCTTTAACACCAAACACAATACATTGTGACTAATCAAGCATGCTTTTACTTATTTTTTTCCTTTGGAAATACATTTTTAAAATTCTGATTTTTAGAATTTTTAACTTTTTAAGTATATCTAAGGATTGTATTTTTAAAAATTTGGACATTTTAAACTATTTAAAAATTATTTTGTAACGTTACAAATTTTTTTTCTCAAAATAAAAAATTATAGTAGATTATTATATTGAACACATATATTATATACTTTTAACTTCTAACTTCAATAACGTACCGTAAAATAGTGTAAATACTTATTTTGGTATTATTATAAGTACCTAAATGATTATAATGTAAAAATACAAAGTATTAAGTAGCTTAAATATTTTTTTAATTGAATTGTGTATTATAATATATTATTTATGTAATGTCGTATACTCGTATAATATACGTAGATAGTATTGTAATTTTATTCAATTTTAACTAGAAAATAAAATTTGAAAATGTTTATGAATTTTTTATTATCTTTAAGAAAAACATTATTGTTCAGTTTTAAGTTTTTTAAATTATAAACAAAAATGTTATTAACATAAATCGAAAAATAAGTTAATTTCCCTCGCCAATCCACAAATGATTAAATGATGAGCAGTCTAAACATT